GTGTTAGACTTTGAGAGATTATACCAGAGCCAGAGATAGAATCCAGGCGGCCACGTCCCAGGGTGCTTTTTGGGTGTCCCTGGTCTTGTCCCACATGGGCAAGCAGGAGGGAAGCCACTCTGGGGTCAAAGAGTTGCACACATCCTCACGCCTGCCCTGCCCAAGGATTTGGTTTTTCCATGACATGTTTCCTGAGCTTCTGCCACACATTGGGCTCTAGGCAGGACACTGGGAATGCAGAAACAGAAAGTGCAGGTGGCCTGTCCTCAGGAGGTCACCAGCTGTGGCAGTGGAATGGGGAGTGTCAGCAGGGCTGGCACCGAGCAGGGGATCCTCAACCCCCAACCATGGCCACCCTGCCCCTGCGTGACACACGCCTACGGGACCCCGGTGCCACATCCCAGAGCCCACTACTGATATCAGCTGCAGCTGCAGAGGACAGTCCTGTGAGGCCCCAGACTCACTCTGGGCGGGCAGCCTCTGCACCCTGCAGATTAGAGATCCCCTTGGGGCAAATGCAGCCCAGTTAACACCCCAGCCAGTGGGGAAGGGGCCACTGGGTGAATCTCAGACCATCCCTGGACTCGGCACCCCTTCCCCCGGCCACAACCTCAATATGGCTTGTCCTCCTTCCCTGGCTCTCTCCTCACCCCCTGCGCCTGCTTCCCAGTTAAATACCTGCACTCAGGTACTTGCCTCAGGTGCTACTTTGGGTGGGGGTGGACCCCAACAAGGATATCCAGGCTCACACTGGCGCCATGGGGACGTACGGATGAAATGGTCCCTCATCCCTGCCTTTGACAGAAATAATCGTATAACCTGCAGGAGGACCCCATGGCACATGACAGCCAAGGCCACTTCAAGGGGCTTCCAGGGAGGACCCAGGGAACAGCCCTCCCCCATTCGGCCCAGGCCCTTGGGTCCCCCGGGGCCCTAAGTCTCACCCCAGAGTGGTTCCCTGGCCAAGGCTACCCCGGCCTGGCTGTCGGTTCAGCCCTACTGACGCCCCTGGGGACAGTACGGTTTAGCTGCCAAAGACAAGCCCAGAAAGTAATTTCCCCTTCTCCACTAATTGCTTTCCGCAGCCTGGCCCGGCCCACCCCCTGCCCCTCCCCTCCTCCTCCCTGTCTCCTTTCTCCGCCTCCCAAGGACAAGGACAGGGAGATACAGCCCCCCTGGGCCCAGCCTGTCTCTCTCAGAACGAGTTTTTGAAATGTAATTCCGGAGGTGACAGTCAGACTGTGGCTGGCACAGCCCCCAGGGGAGGGACGGCTTCCAGCAGCTCCCAGGGACCTTGGGACTCTGCTGGCCGAGAGGCTCCAGGCTGGGAAAGGAGCCCCCACAGCCCCCACTCACTCTCTTACTCATTCGCGTCCTCCTCTGTGGTTCTTCCACGGCCTCCTTAAATCACCCTGGCAGAGACGCTTGTCCCGCTACCCAAAATCCACCCCTGACCCCCTTCCCAGACCCCTTGCCGCCAGGCGGAGCCATGTGACTGGCTCTGGCCAAAGGCTGTAAGTGAAAAGTATTAATAAGAGAAGTTGATTTCAGGCTAAAATACTAAAAAGCAATGGTCGGTGCATGCGGTGGCTCACATCTGTAATCCTAGCACTCTGGGAGGCCGAGGCAGGAGGATCACTCGAGCCTAGGAGTTCAAGACCAGCCTGAGCAAGAGTGAGACCCTGTTTCTGCAAAAAATAGAAAAATTAGCCGGGCATGGTGGTACATGCCTGTAGTCCCAGCTACTCAGGAGGCTGAGGCAGGAGGATTGCTTGAGCCCAGGAGTGTGAGGTTGCTGTGAGCTAGGCTGATGCCAGGGCACTCTAGCCTGGGCAACAGAGCAAGATCCTATCTCAAAATAAATAAAAAGGCCAGTGCAGCCTTCCCTTCTCTCACCCCCTGCTGTGGCGACCACGGAGCCCTCATGTCCAGGTGCCACAGCCTCAAAGTGATGGAGCCGCCACCAGCCTGGCCCTCAGCCTGGCCTTGTGCTGGGCAGGGCGTGCCCATCCCTCTAGACCACCTGGACGTACGGCGTGAGGAGCCAACCTCTGTGGGGCTATGCCTACGGTCTGGGGTTGGCTTGTTGGGCAGCACAACCCACAGAGCCCCCACGAATTCATTGTTTACCCCTCCCCACCCCACCCTCTGCACAGCCCAGAGAGCGGGCCCCTGCAGCGCCCGCAGGACACTGAGGCAGTAGCTGAGCACACCGGTGTAGACAGCAGGGCCGCCTCCCGCCGCTCAGTAAGCCGGTCAGAAGAACCTGCTCACAGACCCAGTGGTTGCCCCAAGTGACATTTCCCCACGGTGGCCTTAGTGGCCAACGACGAAAAGCAGGGCGTGGATCGCCGATGAGCCGAGGTCATGAGGGGCCGTGCTGGGTGAGCGGCTGCTACAAAGCCTCCTTCTTCAAAGAGCCTCAGGAGCCACCCACGGCCCCACCTGCCCCAGCCTCACAGACGGGGACACTGGCCCAGAAAGGCTCTGGGACTTCCCCCGGCCGCCACGGTTAGGGCCCAGGGCCATGACTCCCACTACAGCCCCTGCCTCCCGGGGTCAAGCAAAGTGGGGTCCACAGGACGTTGCTGAGGGGTGTGAATGCCGAGGCAGACTTTCTGGAAGCCCAGCTAGATCCCTGTGCCTCAACCAGCGGCATCCCTCACCGAGCACGTGCTGCGTGCACAGCCCAAACAAGCTGTTTTAGTAAAATAGAAGAGACAGAAGACCCGGAACTGCTCGGGGAGCTAGGCTGCGGCGGAAGAGAACTGATGAGAAATAGCCTCGTTTTGTCACACGGGCTCGAGGGACCCAAATCTAGCAGGTGGTACAAAGCCAGCGTTCGTGGAGGCCATTTCCTGTCCTTCCCTCTGCCCAGCCTTGTCCCTTCCTGCAGAAGCACAGGGAGGGCGCCCCGGTGCACCGTGAGCTGCTACCGCACCCTTTTCACCACACAGGGCTCAAGGCTCTTCCAGTCCGCCCCTCCTCCGCGCCCACAGGAACGTTTCCGTGACACCCACACCACGGAGGGGCAGCGGAGAAAACCGTGTCACAGCACCTGCGCCCAGGCTCACCTTAGACTGAAACCCCTCCTGTCGCCACAGCCTCTTTGTTCAGCTGGCTCTTGCTCAAACTTCAACACCCAGACGGTGAGTCACCTCCTCCAGGAAGCCCTCCCTGTCCTCCCCCTCCTCAAGGCTGGCTCCCAGCAAGGTCGGGCGGCCCGGCTGACATGCAGCAGGTGCTGTGCGTGGTGCTCCGCGCCGGGCTTGCTCAGTTGCGTTTGCCTGTTTGCGAGTCTTCTTCCCCCGGCCGAGGGCGAGCTTGTGACCATGAGCCCGGAGTGGGCGCATTGTCCACTTTGGGGTCCTCCATGCCTAGCACAGTGCTTGGCACTGTGGAGCTGCTCGGTAGATGTTTGTCGAAAGTATGTTTTATGCATGGGGGCAGACTGTAGATGATGAGATGATTGTGAAATCCCAGGCAACGGGAACTAAGATGGGAATGGACGGTGTGTGTGTGCGTGTGTGCGTGTGTGTGTGTGTGTGTGTGTGTGTGTGTGTGTTGCTAGGGGCCCGTGTCATCCAGTCCCTTCAACCACACCACACAGGTACAACCTCCCTCCCATCTGTTTGCAATTTCGCGGCAATCTTGATACCCTGTCCTAGTGCCAAATCGTGCACAGACCATGTGTCTGGTTTGGGGTTCATAAACTCCAGTCCCTGTGCGCGGAGGCGATCGAGCCTGCTCGCTGCAACGGACCAAAGCCTTCACAGCCTTTCGGAAGCCAGGACTTAGCCCAGGAGGCGGAGAGAAGAAGGGGGTCTTTGGGGGACCCCTGGCCTTCCTCATCAATCTGGAGCTGAGAAGACAGACGTTGGGAGACATCTGGTGCCTGCAGCACGCCCACCGACACTGGGCAAGGCCACATGGCACGTGGACCGAGCACGGGAAAATTAGCTGCTGGCGTAATTGACCGCTCTGTTATCCAAGGGGCTGCTTGAACAGACGGAGCAGGAAACGCAAGGAGCGTAGGTGGGCTCGGCCACGCGCTTCCTGGCTCAGAGGAACGTCCCGCCCCTCACCTTTTGAGGGTCAGCTCTCTAGGCCTGACCCTCTTCTGTAAGGAGGATTGGCCATCACTCCTTGGGCCCCCCATCCCTTGCCGCAGGCTCTGTTCAGACCTCTCCCATTGTCTTTACATATTTGATTATGTGTCTGTGCGTCTGTCTCCCTCACTAGCTTGTGAGCCTCTTGCTGCAGGGACTAAGTCAATCACCTGTGTGCTAGGTACTCGACAAGCAGTTTGATGGATACATGGATGGATGGATGGATGGATGGATGGATGGATGGATGGATGGATGGGGTCTGCCCAGGAGATGCACGATTGTAATAGCTACCATTTTTGAGCTCTTACTATGTGGAAAGCGCCATGCTAAGTCCTTTTGGTGTATATTTTTCTCATTTAAGTCTCACAGCAGCCCTCTGAGTTCCGTAATCGTAACCAGGTTTCCAACAAGAGGACAAGAAGACAGAGGTTGCGGCCGTGTGCTCAACATCACACGGCCAGAAAGTCCCTGGGCAGAAATTCACAGCTAGGCGGAGTCAGTGACTCCAGGCCCCAGACTCGTCAGCACTCTGGCTCACAACCTTCTGGTGCACCCACTGCCTTTTCTCCGAGCCTTGGTTTTCCCATCTGTAAAGTGGGGGTAACAGTACCCACCTTGAAGATCGCACATGTAAGGGTGGAGCGGGGGACGCTGTAGATTCCCAGGGACCGTGTCTGGCTGGGTTCTCTGGTCTACACCCCCGGGGGGCCCTAGCCGTGAAGCCGCTTCCCCGGTGGCTCGTCTCCCCACAGTGGCACCTCCACTTGGCCCCACTCTGCCCTGCTCTTCCGGACATGTTTCATTTTATTTTAATTTGCTGCTGGGGACCACCCACACGTGCTCCCTGGGGCAGAGATTCCTTGTGTTTGCAGGAAACCAGCTAAACCACAATGCTGAGTCCTGTGCACTGGGCAGCAGGCTTGCCAGGGACAGCCGGGGTCCCTTTCTGCACCCCCTCCCTGACTGCCCTTTCCTCCTCTCCTGCCTCTCTCCCTTGAACTCAACAGCCCATAAAGATGGAACACACCCACCTCATCTCTGCCGGCAGCGGGCCATCTCGCCTCCTGTGGAAAAGGCCTGACTGCTCCCCTGAGCCACCTGAGTGGATTGGGGCAATCTGACTGTTTGGGGGCGACAGTCCTCCAGCTCTCCCGGACAACGCGGGTGTGAGCAGGTGGTTCCCTGCACGCTTGGTTCAACGGGGAGCAAGTGAAACTCCCAGCTGACTGAGTCGGCTCTATCAGGGTGGACTTCTTGGAAGAGGAAGGAGTCACACTGATGTTGAAACGAGGATGGGGACAGTGGGGCAGTCTGGTTGGGAGCAAAGCAGAGAAAAGAGGAATTTGTTGGAAGTGAGAGAAGGAGGTGAGGAAAGGAAAAGAGAAGCCGGGGTGCCTGGCGGGCTGTGGGGAGGAAGGCGAGGCCTGTGGAAGGCACAGGGGCCCGCAGGGGTTGCCTGGCTGCTGGCAGGACAGCAGCCACCGGGGCGGGGGTGAAGGGAAGGGACCTGTGGCCAGCTTGGCGGACTGCGGGACCAGCCCTGGCCCAGGGAATGGCACTCTCCAGAAAGAAACAGCAAGAACTGGGAATGAATGGCCTCGCTAATTGGCCGTTTTGTTTTTTATGTATTTTCATTAGCAAGATAAAATAACAACGAATCATGTAACTGTCTCCTGGTTTGGGAAATAAATGCTCGTTAACCACCTGAGTGTTCTCCCGCGGAATGAGCCTCTGCTCCTGGCTAGGGGACAGCAGAACGGGGAAGGAGAAAGTCCTGGCGGCCCTGACCTCAGAGCCCAGGCCCAGGACTTCCAGCAGCGGGCGGCTGAGCCCAGGGTGGGGTTGGGTGGGCCCCCAAACAGATCGAGTGACGCTTCTTGAACAACCAAGATGTTCTTCCTCCGCCAGAGAGAGGGTGTTGGTCATTTGTCTCCTCTCCCAGCAGATGCCTTGTCCCCAAGTCCCCTCCTGACAGCCATCCTTCGACAGGTGCTCTGGAAAGGGGACAGTGAGCAGGCAGCTGGGTCTCCATGGTGACCCTGTCTACTCAACCTCCCCTCACAAAGAAGGGGGAGGGCCAGGGAGGCCTGGTTGGTGGGGAAGTGGGGCAGGGGAGCCCGTTACCCAGGCAACTCCCTCGAGGTCCTAGCCCAGGGCTCCCTCCCAAGGCAGGGGCTGGTGTTGCCATGGAGACGCCTGGGCAGCTCAGCTAAGCTGGCGGCCTGGCTCCCCTCCCAGCCCTGGGGGCACAGGACACAGGAGGAAGGCTCCAGAGTCCTCTCTCCACATTATGTGCACGAAAGAGGGGTAGCTTGCCAGGGAGGAAAGTTCCAGAAGACAGTGTGCTCCTCACTTGGCCCTCTGCCTCCCCCACACCACCATCCTGCTCTTGTTCTTAACCTGCCTCAAGAGAGCTGGTGCTGGCGCCCACCCTGTGGCATGTGGTCCTGTCCCTCCACCTCTTGGCCCTTCTTTCTCAGGGATGCTCATCACTTCAGGCAGAAAGCCTACCCAAGGGTCGCCATGACGACCAAGCAAGCCTTTGGTCTCCATGGTGACAAGCCCACAATGTTATTGTTATTTATTTATAGGGAATTTCAAAGGATTTTCTACTCCCTTGCCCAGGCCTGGCATTTGGGAGATTAGGGTAGGACCATCATTCTCCCCTTAGCCTGGACCAGGGAACAAGGTGGAGGGATGTTGGGTGACAGCTGCAATGTGGCCAAAAGGCAGCCAATAAATACCTCCTTGACGCTGCAGAGGAAGTGGTCTAGGCTCTTCCCCAGCCTGCCAGATACCTGGGGAGGCTCTTAAGAGCCACTTAGCAGCCGCCATCCTTTGGGAGGTTCTAAGTGCAGCTTCAGGGGATGAATGGATTGATTGAGGCATATCCTGCTTCACTCTAAAGAATAACTGATGGAACTCACAGAAATATACTGAGCCCAACAGAATAAAAATGGATGAGAAGCCTGGAGCAAAGGGAAAAATAAGATAATGCCAGGCTAAAGGGACAACACAAACTATAGGTTACTAGCAGTAAATGAGAGGGCTACAAATCCAACTCTGAGCTTCCTGATGGTCATAGCAAAGAAAGAAACAAGATTTACAGAGTCCATAAGAGAAAAAAAATAAAGACAGTTCAGGAGATGTGTTGGCTATAGGGAGAGCAATCTGAGGATACATTCCCAGGACACCAGAGGTCCTGCCCACCAGCATCTAGGCCAGTGTCTTCAATTTGTTTAGCTTGTTGACTCTGCCTTGTTTTCTCTTTTTCCAATAAAGCCTGTGTCTTAACTCATGCCATGCGACATTGTGTAGCTTATCCCACACCTGGAACACAATGGAAAACGCATGGGATCCACCTGGCAGAATAAATAGAGACCTGAAAGGGATCTAGCTTGCACAGCAAGTTATCATCATCCAAAATCATATCCATCGGGGGTGTTTTTGGTTGCAAATAACAGAAAGCTGACTCGAAATGGCTTTGCCAAATAGGAAATTTACAGCTTCACAGAACAAGGCATTCTGAGGCCGGGCAGCTCCGGGTTGGTGGATTCTGAGCTTCCTTGGCATCACGCTGGACCCAAGTGCCTTTCGCCTTTGAGCGGGGCCACCCTCAGCGTGTCAGAGTGGCAACCGGGGTTCCAGCCATCACAGGCAGCTGTGTGTCCAGCAGAGGAAGCAGGTCCATCTTCTGTGTGTTGTTTTAAGAAAAAAACATTCCCAGAAGCCGCCTGCAGATATCCCATCATGCGTCCTTGGCCACATTTGGGTCGCCTGCTCCCAGCTAAGGTAACCCAGGGCAAGGTGAGTGCGACTAGTCTGACGGGCCAGCCACACGGAGGAGAGAAAGGACTCTGAAACAGAACCCACTGCGGAAGGGAGGGGTTCAGGCAGGTGCCCCAAGGAGGCACCCCAGAAGCAAACCCCGAGATGAGGGTTTGCGTGTGGGATCCAAGGAGGGGCTCCCAGAAGGAACTGGCAAGGGGACAGAAGGACAGGACAGAGAAAGGGAGGAAGCTGAGCAAAGGCCCAGCCTCAGCCTGAGCCCAGAGGTGAGGCTGCCTAAGATAAGAAGTGTGAATTACATCGGAGGGGCTGTCCAGGCAAGGGGGTGGACTTTCCTTCCCCAGGCAGTCGCTAAGGGCTGCCTCTGGAGAGACACACAAGCCCAGCACTTCCGGTCCTCTGTGCAGGCGGGCACACCAGCTCTGGTGGCCTGGGGCAGTCCTCTGAAGAGAGTCACAAGGGCAGGCTGGCTCTCAGAAGCAAAGCACACTGGAGCCGAGGGAAACACACACAGAAATGATCAAAGGAATCCCGGGAGCCTCTGGTCAACCTCAACCAACAGGGTCCTCCACAGAAAGGACCTGTCCCCTGCTGCAATGCCAGCACCGCGGGCACAGAGGGCCGGTCTGTCGCCTGCATGTGCTGTGGCCTCAGCCCCGGCACCTGCCGGCACTCCAGAAACACGTGTTGCATAAATGCACAAGCCTTCAGGACCTGGGGCTCAGAGGGAGCTGGGGCTGGGGCTCGGGACCTCCACGCTCACCGTCCTCACCGCCTTCCAGCCCAAAGCCCCTCCTGGCAGGAGGTGGCCCCCACTCCCAGCCCACACTCTGTTTTCCTAAAGCAGGAGCAGCCCCTCGGAGAGCTCCCCGCAGGCCAAGCCGGTCGGGTGGAGCCCTGGCTCAGAGGCACCAGGGCAGGGGCCGCCCTCAGGGACTGAGTGTACCCGAGAGAAGCAGCTCAGCGCTGTTATTCTGAAAAAAGGTGTAAATGAATTCATTGCAAACCACGCTGCTGCCTCACCTTCCAACACTTCCGCAGGCATAACCTCATGCATTGCTCACAACTACCCCCTGACGGGGTGCAACTGTGTTGCCCCCATCACCCCCAAGTGAAGGCCGAAGAAACAGGCTCGGAGAAATGACTTCACTTGCTCTCGACCAGAGAACCCCAAGGGGCCAGGTCCCACGTGGCCCTTCCTCTTGCGCATTCCAGAAAGACTTGCCTGGAGCTGAGCCCCGGCCCAGCACTGCGTCTGTCTTTTCCATCTGCCGCTGCCCTGGACCACGAGCTCATCGAGAGAAGAGACTGGGTCTCTTCCACGGCCATCTTCCAGGGCCCGACCCAGCCTCTGCAGACAGTTGTCGGGGGCGTTGGCAAATATTCCTTTTCCCTCCCCTCCAGACCGCACAGTTGGTGGCACTTCCCTACCCACTTGAAGTTAGACGTGGCCATCAGACTTGCTTTAGCCCATGAAATGGAAACAGAAATGACGTGTCATTCCGAGCGGACACTTTGAGAGGAGGCACAGGTGACGGCAACGATCTAGACGGTGGCTGCTGCTTCCCAGAGTGAGGACGACACAGGCCTGTGGTGACAAGTAACTTGAGCGAGAACTATGCCGCGTGCTCTGACGTCACTGAAGGTAGGGGGATGTTTGTTACTGCAGCGTAACCTGCCATATCCTGACTGACACGGCACATGTTAGTTGACACTCAATAAATATTTTTAGAAAGAAGCAAAGAAGGGGGAGAGGAAGGAGGGAAGGGTCCCCTGATGTGAACAAGGACCTGTGGTCCCCTCTGAGCAGACCAGTGGAGGGACAGATACTTCAGGACCCCAGCTGATCGAGTAAGTGGGTGCCTGCAGCTCAGACACCCCTGCCCCTCGTCCACACCGCAGGATTCTGAGGTCCGGAGTTGCCATGGGGAACCTGGATCTTCCAGGCCCAGGATCTACCCCCCCCCCAGCTATGGAGAGGGCAGCCCGAATCCAGGGAGGAGAAAGGCTATTTCCCCCCACTCCAACTGAAGACTTTTTCAGCCAAATGAATAATTCATTGTAAATGACTTTGAGATGAGTCGTGTCTCCATGTTGCCACCCGATTATATGTACCATAAAAAGCAATGACAGTAATTTATCTCCTTTCTCTCTGGGGTGGGCCGTGGTGATGGGGAGGAAATGCTTGGTGCCTGGCATGGGGTTATGAATCATTCCTCCTAGCAGTTAAGCTGCAAGCTGCTGATGCTTTTACTGATTTGGCATTAAATAACTCCAGCCTCGGCCTGGGAGCAGAGAGGGGGTCTGGCTTCCCTCCCTAGGGGAGAGGCAAGGCGGCAAGTGAGGCAGGGAGGAGGGCGGAGGTGGAGGGAGGAGGTGGCGTGCAGTTTGGCCTCATCAGTTTGCCCCGAAGTTGTCTTTTCCCTAGGATCGGGGACTGAGCCTGTGGCCTGAGACGCAAGTGACAACGTCGCAACTGAGGAGTTTCAGCTGCACGGGTTGCAGAGGGAGACACGCAGCCAGGCCCGGCGGCTCCCATGCTGCTCTGCGGCCTTCCCGACGCGCAGGTGCCTGAGACGCAGGAGCGCCTTGCCGGCCTCAGATGGACGCAGGTGTGGGTGCTGGATGAGTCCCAAGACCTTCACGGCCACAGGTGCTGTCTTCTCACAGACAGAGCTCCCGCAGGGAGACTGGCTCCCGGATTGCAGATGGAGAAACCAGGGCCCACAGCCAGGCAAGAGTGAGATCAAAGGCACAAGGAGAACAGGGTGGTGGAACACACATCCCCCCAAATCAGACCAGAACTGCCTCCCCCACCCCGATTACCTTTCCCGTGCATAGACAAAGAAGATAGAAGTAATCCCAGAGGACTCTGGAGCTGTATCTACAAGGTGCATGTCTTTATTTTCACACACACAAAAAAATATTTCATTTTTACCTTTTAGGGGCACAGTGAAGATCAAACCCAAGCTCTATTCCCCCAGCTCTGCATTCCCGTCCCACCCTGGCCAGCGACAGCACAAATATTTTTACACACTTCCAGGCCTTAGACTCACCCTCTTTTGCATCAGAAACTCCAAGGTAGGGGAGGGGGATGTTTGTTACTACAGCGTAACCTGCCATATCCTGATTGACATGGTACATGTTAGTTGACACTCAATAAATATTTTTAGAAAGAAATAAAGAATGGGGAGAGGAAGGATGGCTGAGTTTAAAAAAAAAAACAAACCACCCTATAGCAGCTTTATTTATAATAGCCAAAACCTGGAAGCTACCCAGACATCTTTCCACAAGTGAATGCTTAAACAAACTGTGCTACATCCATGCCATGGACTACTGCCCAGCAGTGAAAAGGAATGAACTATTGATACACATTATAACTAGAATGAATTTTCAGGGAATTATGCAGTGTGAGTGAAAAAAAAAAAGCTAATCCCAAATGGTTACACGCTGAATGATTCCATTTATATAATATTTTCAAAATGACCAAATTTAAATGGAGAACAGATCAGCGGTTGCCAGGGGTCAGGGATGGGGTGGGTGTTCGGGGAGGTGGATGGATCTGGCTGTAACAGGGCAACACAAGAGCTCCTTGTGCTGATGGAACCGTTCTGGGTCCTGACTGGCGGTGGGTACACAAACCTGCCCATGACAAAGGTGCATAAACACACACACACACACACACACACACACACACACGTTAGTACATGGAGAACTGTTGAAATCT